AGACAGCAGACTTCTCTGTTGTTACCGTCAGGTGGACAAATAGCTGCCTTGCTGTTCCTCCTCAGGAAGTCTATAACCAATCCATCACCTCTCTCTTCTTCCTCTGACCTTCACAGATGCTTTCCTACTTGATCACCGGCACTCAGGGAGCCATATGGTCATCCCTTGGAGGAAAAGCATCTGCTTCCTCCTCAGAGGGTTCAGTTTCCTCCAGTTTGTATCATACCCACTATTTTTCATTGTTGTTGTTCGGTTGTTTCAGTCATGTCTGACTCTTTGTCACCCCATTTGGGTTTTTCTTGGCAAAGATACTGGAATGGTTTGCCATTTCCTTCTCCAGCTCATTTTACAGATAAGGAAACAGAGGCAAACAGGGTTAAGTGACTTGCCCAGGGTCACACAGTTAGTTAAGTGTCTGAGGCCAGATTTGAACTCAGGAAGATGAGTTTTCCTGACTCCAGGGTCATCATGCAACCCACCGCATTACCTAGCTACGCAAAATAATGAGAATTTAATTACCATTGCTGAATTTGTGATGGGATTTGAGATTTGCAGAGCATCTTCCTTATAGTATGCCTGTGAAGTGTGTATGTGTGTGTGTGTGTGTGTGTGTGTGTGTGTGTGTGTGTGTATGTGTGTTTAAGTTGTGTCCAATTCTCCATCACCCCATTTGGGGTTTTCTTGGCCAAGCTACTGGAGTGGTTGCCATTTTCTTCTCCAGCTCATTTTATAGACAAGGAAACCGAGGCAAACAGGGCTAAGTGAATTGCTTGGGGTCACATAGCTGGTAAGTGTCTGAGGCTGAATTGGAACTCATGAAGATGAGGCACTTTCACAGCTGTCAAGTTAGGTCAGCACCATCCCTGCAACTTATAGTCTTAGAGAATTGCCTAGAGCATTTAGCGGTTAAGTGATCTGCCTAGAATCACACAGCCTGTATTTATGAGAGGCAGGACTTGAACTCATGTCTTCCTGTTCTTTTGTGTTTTAAATAAAAAAGATGAAATTTAATAGGGATAAATGTAATGCCATGCATGTGAGATTACAAAAAATCCCAGTTTCCCAAGCATAAGAAGGAGGAGGCATGGGTGCATAGCAGTTAATTCTCCCTGGCAAATTGAAGAGGAGCAATGAACAGTAATAGAGCAGTTCTGCTTTCTTTTTTTTAATTTTTTTTTAATTTTTAGGCAATTGGGGTTAAGTGACTTGCCCAGGGTCACACAGCTAGTAAGTGTTAAGTGTTTGGTCTGAGGCTGAAGTCAGGTCCTCCTGACTTCAGGGCCAGTGCTGTATCTGCTGCCCCACCTAGCTGCCCCAGTTCTGCTTTCTTTCAAGTCTGTCATCACACCACCCATCCTGATCAGCACTACTATCTCTTGGCCCTCTTTTCCCCATTAAGACCAAAGAAATAAACTCCCCTTTCTACCTGGGAGTCTAGCTCAGTTCACATGTTCTTTTCTTCAATTGTCTCTAGTGATGAAAACACCATTTTTGCTTCTGCCCAGGACACCATAAACCCAGAGGTGTTTTCTTGCCTCGACCTGGAAGTATTCGTCATTCCCACATGAAGCACCCAAACTGGATAGTGGTCATTAGGGTTGTAAGTCATGCCCTGGAATCATGCTTTGAGAAGGATATTGAACCTCTGCATTGGTCATTTGCAAGTCAACATTTGGTTCTCCTCCCAGCAGCAAATCATCTCTGCTCCCTGTGGCCAGTCCCACGTGTTCCTGGTATTAGGGGCACCTCCTAAAAATTCTGTGGGACTTCAGAAGAGGCTTTCTCCTTGGAGGGTCCAGAACCACTTAATGAGGAAAGCCTCAAACCTAGTATGTGGCTCCAGCTATCCAGAAGTGCTTTTGTCCTCTCTACTTCAAAGCACATCTTCTACTCACCAATCTTTTGACACTACAAAATACAGCTGCATGACTGGGAGGAAACAAAAGGAAACACTGGAGGAACGTGACTTTTTTGGGTGACTAGGGAATTAACTGTCTTTGTTAAAGGGCTTCTTCCCAGCGAGACTGCCAGGTGCGCAAAGTGCTTTGAAACCAAGGAGATTCTCTCATTGGAGGAAGTATACTGAATGGCCTGTTCCTAAAGGCTGTGCATGGGTGGGCACATGGACATCTCTGAGACAAGAGGTTAAAAAGGAATGCTAGGAAAGTAAGAAGGGAGGGAGGGTGAAAGACAGAGAAGAGAGAAGAAGGAGAGAGGGGGGAGTAAGGGAGGGAAAGGGAGGAGAAGGGAGGACAGGAGGGAGGAAAGAGACAGAGAGAGACAGAGAGAGACACACACACAAAATGAGAAAGACACACACAGAGAGAGAGAGAGAGAGAGAGAGAGAGAGAGAGAGAGAGAGAGAGAGAGAGTGAGAGCACAGCAGTATTTCAATAAGGATGAAGGCACAACTGCACCAGAGAGAACATAAGACATAATGGAGGAAAGGCTGGTGAGTGTCTTGATACCCAGAGGTATCAGACACACAGTTCCCGAGCCAGATTAAACTATAATTGAGAAATATGTAACAAAATAAATAAAAAATTCAATAGAACATACATAATGTTATTATGTGGTTTTCTAAGTCAATACGCAGCAGCAGGTCCTTATGTCCCCTTGAGAGGCCTTGTTTCTACCGGAGTTCAACACCCCTATTGTAGGGTCCATACCTCAAACAGCCTCATGGAGACCTTTCATCAGCAGTCAGTCAGACAGAGGGTTGCCGACGGCTGCATGGGCTGGACTGAGCTGTCTCTCTCTCTTGGTGAGACATGCAGGCAAAAGCCCTGCCAGCCCCTCAGCCAATCAGGAATGGCCACGAGTCCAGGTGTTCTCACACACTCCCACAACAGTACAGTCAATCAATGATGAAATCATGACTCCCCCTCTCATTTAGGGGGCTATTGGATGACAGGGAACAACTTATTCACATACAACCGTCAGGAGCCTTTTCCAGGAGAACAGCCAGGTTCTCATGGTGCTTTGGAACCGGAGAAAGAGAGATTTCATGGGGATAAGCATGCATGGAGGGTATGTACCTGTGTCCCCTTCCTGCTAGGCTGAGGATGTAACATGGGACTTGTGTGTTTGCGTATATGTGTGTTCACATGTGTGGAAGACGCTAGCATCTGCACTAATGTGCCTCCCTCCCTCTGGCTTCTACAACCTCATAAAAGCAGGACATGGACAATGGACTGATGGCATGGATGGTGCGGATCAATGGTGGCTTCAGTCTTGCTGCTTCCGTGGAAGTTCTAACCATTCTGGCTCGTGTGCCTGGAGCTGTGGCTTGGCCAAGCAATTCCACAAGGCTGTGTGGGGGTGCCGTCTAGCAGGCCTCCTCTCCTCCACCAGAGACTTTGATCCCTCAGGTTGCAGCTATATATTCAGCCTCGCTAAAAAACGCTTGCTGCCCCCTCCCTCCTCTTTCATCTCTTTCTTTTTTTCTCATTCCAGTGTCTCCAGAGCTCTTCATGAGACATCTTCATGCTGTGTAATTATACACATTATCCAGGGACAGGGAGTCCAGGACCCCCTCCTCACTGAGCATTGGCCACACCTGGCACACCCACACCCAATTACTGCCCGGGAGAGGAAAGGGAGAAGCAAGTAAAGTATGCATGTCTCAAGGTGTGTTGGGGCACCTGAGAGATTCTTCAGGCGTGCTTATCCCAATGGGCAAGTCTCTCTAGTTCCAAAGCACTGAGAGAACTTGACTGTTCTCGGGGAAGGGACTCATGACAGCTTTCTATGAACAGCCTGTGCCTTGAGGTATATGATAGCCCCCTTAAACAAGAGAGGGAGCCTTGACTTTGTAACTGAATGACTGTGCCGTTGGGGGAGTGTGTGAGCAGAACACCTGGCCTCATGGCCATTCCTGATTGGCCTAGGGGATGGCAGAACTTTTTCAATAGAACAGTGGGCTCAGCCCAGAGCACAGGACCCTGGCTTCCCTGATCTCTCCTGCTCTGCCCGGGCCTTTCTTGTCTTGCTGGGATGCCAAGCACAGATAGCCTGGGTATGGCATCTCACTTGCTTTAGTTGAGGTTTAGCTGAAGTCTGGAAGTGACCCCATGTGATGCAGGAAGCTGTTGGACAAAGTACCCTGAATACCTTGGCCTGGACATTGGCCTTCCCTTTAGCATCACCTTCTCTTCAGCATCACCTTCTCTTCATCCCCATCCTTCCCCTAACTCTTGACAGGGGGCAATGTGGGATTATGTTTTGGGAATCAGCAAACTCCAATATTTCAATGCCAAGGTATAGGATTCTGAGCTTGGGACCCTTCACATGTGGCCTCCAGAGTGTTATATCCTCCTGGCTGTAGCAGCTCCATCTCAGCATTGGCACAGCAGGGAAATGGAGCTCCATGTTCCTCATCACTGGGAAGCATGCCATTCCCCCATGTGATGGCCTTTACGGGCATGGTAGAAAGGGCCCTGGGCCCCTGGGAGTTAAGAGAGCTGGGATTCAACTCTGCCACTGATTCCTTGTGTGACTTGGGCAGGCAACTTTCAATAGGCCTCAGTTTCTCCTATAAAATGAGGATAATAACCCCTACCTTGCCTGTCTCCTTTCCAAGACTATTGAGAAAAGATGTGAAGATGCTTTATAAACTGGAAAACCCTGTGACTGGAGAACAAACTTGTGCCTATATTTTAGAGTAGGTGGAAACTTAAAGACAATTTAATCTCCTTTCCTCATTTTTTACAAAGGGGAAACGGAAATCCAATGAAAGGATGGGATTTGACTTGTCTTACATTTAGCAGAGCAGGAATTAGACCTTCTCATGTCAAATGCAGTTCTCTCTCCATCATTCCTCTCCCTCTTTCCTTTTTCTCCTGATTTGACAGACTTTGGGTCCATCCCTTCGGGGACTCCCACCCCAATAAGGCCAATGACTAGCCCAACTGATCAGGCCCTTCTTGACCTACTGGGGGTGGTGGTACTGCTGCTAGTGGGGTGAGAAGAGGCATTGGGGTCAGCTCTCTCCCCCATACCTGTTGGGGCTTTCGCTGGGTATGTCTCCATCTTCACCTCCTGCAGGGTATTTGGGGCTGTGGCTGGCACCACAGGCCGGAACATGTAGCTGTCATTGGGTAGGGAGTGCATCCTGGACACAGCAACCTTGTGCACCACGAGGAGGTTTCGGGACTCCCTGGAAGAGCCAGTGCCTTCCTGTAGAGACACAAGATAGTGGGCCCCTGAGTCACCTCAGGCCTGCATCCTGAGCCTCTCATCTCTAGCTCTAAACTCTGTGTCTGGGCATGTGGAATCCCATGAAGCCCCACGGCATGTTCCAAATGTCCTGAGTCACATGGGACTAGACCTCACCAGAATCAGATCTAGCTCAGAAGCAATAGCAGGAGATCTTAACTTTTTTGTGTGTTCTGGACCCCTTTGGCAGGAAGCCAGTGGATTCATTTTCAGAATAATGTTTTTAAATGCATAAACCAAAATATGCAGGATTACAAAGGAAACCATTTATATTGAAATAAAGAAATAAGTTTTCCCTCATCCAAGTGTGTAGACCTCAGGTTAAGAACACTTGGTCTACAGGGTTCAATATGAGGTTGCAGGGAAAGGCCCCCTGCCCAGAAACAAGTCTGGCTGTGCTGATTTGAGGAGGCAGGGAGGTGGCCCAGATGTGACCAGGTGTGCTTACCAGGGTTTTCTGCTTTGTGGACAGAGTGGACTCAGGGCTCCCAGCCTGGTGGCTCCCCATGGGTGGCCGGCTGTCCGGGCCAGGTGGGGGCCCCGGGCCTCGGACCACAGCAGCAGGAGCCGTGCCGCTTTGGGCCATCTCCAGCTCAATCTCAGCATCCATCTCTGCATCCTCCCGTGCCTCCTTGTTGCTTTCCTCCAGGTGCTTCATCAGCACAGCCACCACCACGTTGACCAGCACAAACTGGGCAACCAGGACGAAGGTGACGAAGTAGACGGGTGAGATGACAGGCAGGTAACTCAGGCAGTGCTTGTCCTCGCGGGCACACTCCCGTAGAGTGTCCTGACCACAGAGACAATCCTGGCTTGGCACCCAGGCCACCCTTCCCCTGACCTGCAGGCCTGCTCTGCCAGCCCAGGTCAGGCTGGGCTAGATTAGAGGCAGGGACAGCATGGCTTCCATGGGCCTTACATACCCATTTATCGTAGCAATTAATCAAGGATCCTGGGGAGCTGGGGCTATAGGATTAAACCAGATAAATCTTGCCTCAGACTCATCTGGAAGCCCTTCATTCCCTGCTCTCCAAACAGTTATCCAAACTCATGATTCCGTCCTCCCTAAGACCCAACCTGTCCTCCTCACTGTCCCCATGCTCATTCCCCTCTCCTTCACTCATGTTACTCCCCATTCCTGGAATGTCCTCATTACTGTCTCTTCAAAGGCTACCCAAACGTATCAAGAGCTAACATTTCTATAGCACCTTAAGGTTTGCAAAGTACTTTACACATACTATTTCATTTGATGGTCATGCTAACTTGAAGAGGTAGAAGCTATTATTATCCCCATTTTACAGATAAGAAAACTGAGGGTGAGAGTGACTTACCCAGGATCACACAGCTAGTCATATCAGAGGCAGGATTCAAACTTAGATCTTCCTGACCCCAAATCCAGTATTTTATCTATTACATCCCCTAACTGCCTCAGGAAGCCTTCTCTGACCACTTGACCCTTCTCTGAAGTCCTACTACATCTGGATCAAATACAGACTTTCATGTAAAACTTGTCTTGCTCTGCTCCCTTTCTATTGTGAGCACTCAGAAGGTAGGGCTTGGGTCTGGGTCTATCTCCCTCCAGACCGTGAGTTTTCTGAGTGCAGGGCAGGTCCTGGGTCTCTGCCCCCTCCCTTTTTCCTCATGGAAGATTGGGGGGGTGGGGATGGGGAGGGAGCAGGGGTTAAGGGAAGCATGGTCATTGTGTTGCTTGGGAGTGTTGGTTGTGGGCACTTTAGGGCATCAGGGAGATACCTTCATGATTCCATTCCAGTTGTCACCCGTGGACACCCTGAAGAGGGTGAGGAAGGCCATGCCGAAGTTGGTGAAGGTAGCGTGTCTGCTCAGGCCTTCACATGGGTTATCTTCACTGCAATCTAGGAAGCAAGAAGAGACCCACCAGCCTGGTCAGGCAGCCCAGGGCTCCTCTAGGAAGACAATTCTCACCCCATCACGCCTGGCCTTTCTTTCCTGGGAGAAAGGAAGAACCCTCCCAAGAAACTTCTTGCCTGACCAATGAGTACACAGCATTGTGTTGAATGAACAAACAAGTGATGGTATGGTGGAATTAAAGTCTGGACAGCTGGGTTCAAACCTTGACTCTTACTGCAACTATGAGCAATTTACTTAATGGTTTTAGCCTGTTTCCTTATCTATAAAATGGGATGATAGTATTTAGGAGCACCGTATCATAGAGTTAGGATGTCAAAGAAGGGATCAGACATAGGACCATAGAACTAGAGGTGGAAGGAGGCTCAGAAGTCATGAAGTCCAACCCTTTCGTTCTTCAGATAAGGAAACTGAGGTATAGAGACTTGCTTAGGCTTGCACAGCTTATAAGTTTCTGAGGTGGGATTTGAATCCAGGTGTTTTTCACATTTGCGCTATGTATCTCACAAAATGTTTGAGAGGAAAACGTTTTGTAAACCTTTGTAAACCAACAAATGCTAGAGAAATGTGATTGTTCGGTAGAGCCAAATCTCCTATCTGCCTGGCAGGATAGCCTCATACAACAAGGACATAGCTACCTAAATCTTACACACAAAATCTGTCTAATAAGTGAATGAATGAATTTGTCAGGTGACTTTGCATAGCAAGGGGAGACCAAAGACCTTGCCAAGGTAATCTGAGCCCTTGGATGCCTGGCCCTGGCAACCGGCTATTGGTGGCTCTTGATACAGTGAATCTTGTTCCAACACACCAGCCCTGGACTTTGTATGGGGGATGGGATGAGAGTAGGGGGCTTTGTGACCAATGACAACCTTCGGAGCACCAAACCCAAAGAGAGCTCCATAGCCCAGTGCTGCTTCTCCAGGGACCCCATCTGAGCCTCAAAAATGGGCTCAGGCTTTACAGTTCCCCTCCCACTCCGGTAGCCTGAGGGTCAGTTTAGGTGAAATCGGTGCCCTCATATGAATCTCGCAGGTCCAAGATGGGCTCCAACCATTTCTAGTTTCCTAATAACAAACTGGGGACCTGACTCTCAGAAATTTCCCTATATCCGTCTTGGTTCTGTTTCATGTCTCCAGCCTCTCTTGGTTCACTAAGTTTTCTCCCTTCCCTGTGAAGTCAGACATGCTGTGGGTCATCCAAATCCCCTTTCTCGAGTTCCCACAGTTTATCCTACTTCCTGCCCCAGTCTGTGCCCAGTTTGGTACCCCTCAAGGCTCTTTCCCACACATCATCTAATCAGATCCTTACAAAAGCCCCATGAGGGAGGAATAGCAGGGCAAGGATTGATATCTCCATTTTGCAGATGAGAACACTGAGGCCAAGATAAGTGATGTGACTTTTAAGGTCAGGCAGTGAGTTCCCAGTCCAGGGCTCTCTCTTATACTTTTCACTGCTGTTTGTGAAATGCAAATTAACACTGGGTGGATAGATCTGTTCACCAAAAATATATCATAGGATTTAGAAGTGGAAGAGATAGTGTGGCTCATTGGATTCAATCTGCCTCTTCATTCTGTAGGGTCCAGAGAGGGGAAGAGATTTACCAAGGTCTCATAGCTCCTAAGCAGCTGATAGGGTTCAAACCAAGGTCCTCTAATCCAAATTCAGTGCTTTTTCCATTAAACCTTATTAATAGAGGGCCACCTGTAATTGGCATCTGGATTTGAATCCATTTTCTGGTCACGGGGTTGGTTCTGCTTTACGTAATTGGGTAGGAGGCACATCAGGTGTGCCTCTTCAGGGCATGTGGCTCTCGGCAGGGTAAGGATCAGGGACGAAGACACCTGGTTGACAAGGAGAAGTCTGCTTACTTTTTTGACATTTCAAAGGCTGCTAGAAATTATGCTAATGGACATTCAGGGTGATGTGAAAGAAAGCACTTTGGATTTAGCATTCGAAGACCTGGGCTTAAGTCCTAGCCAAGGTCCTTATTCAATATTTCCATGAGCATATAGACAGTTTCCCTGTCTACAAAATGAAGGCACTAATACTTATATTCTTTGTAAGCCGTATAGTGCTGTAGAGAAGTATAACTATTATGCGCCCTCACCGGAGGATGCTTTGAGCGAGGCTTCATGATCAGCCTTATGGAACCAATCTAGCCAGTTCTCAATTATCCAGAGCACTGACACAGATAATCCAAAACCCTGGATAAGCCAAAAACAATGATCTATTTAATTCAAGATATACATAACATGATTCCTTCCCCAGCTATTTTTGCCTCAGGCTTTTATAATGATGTGTTTGCCTTCACTAGTCCCATACCCGTTGGAGATGGGGACAGAGGGCTCTGGTCATTCTAGAGAATCCCCCCAGGAGCCAGAGACTTCTCCCACTGATAGTATGGGCAGTGGTGGGGGTGGTTCCCCCAGCTCCTCCTAACAGGAAGCACGCTGTCATTAGAAGAGCCCCTCTCCTGAGTCCTAGGCCTAGCTTAGCCGCTACCTGGCTGTGTGACCTTGAGAAAATCACTCTCTGTTAACGTCAGCTTCCCCATCTGTATGATAAGGATTATCTTTCATGTCCAGGGCTGCTCAGATAAGGTGCTGGATGGGAATGAGCCCTGAGAGTCATGAAGAAAAAGCATGATGACCCCTGCCATGAACTTTGGATGCCACATCCTGGGGGCCCAACTGGAAGGACCTTGTCTGAGGGGCAGAAAGATTAGGGTTTCTCTTTCCTTATCTGGCAGAGAACCAGATAATGATATGTGGCCAGGAAACTCCCCAAGATCAAGGGACAGAGGAAGTCAGCTGCTGATGGATGGGGCCAGAGGACATAGGGAGGAGAGCCAGCTTTTGTCCAAGCCCACACGCCTGGGGACGTGTCCTGAGATTTTAAGGATTAACTTAATGGTGGAATTCCCTGGAGGACTATGCAGATGTGCGCACATGTGGCAGTATATGTATAGGAGCATCTGCACATACATGTGCTTGTGTGCACACATATCTGTGAGCACATGTGTTCATGTATATGTGGGTGTCTGTACCGTGTATGCTCCTGCCAATTGAAGCATATATGTGTGTGCATGTGCATATGTACCCGCAAGTAAACACAACATGTTCCCTCATATCCATTTGTATGAAGCCAAGCATCCTATTTGTATATTGACACTGAGGTAGGATAGGGTGATAAAAAGAGCACTGAGTTTGGCATCAGAGAATCAGAATTCATATCCCAGCTCTTCCACCTAAAACCCATATGACCTTGGTGATGCAGTGGGTAGACTGTTGGGACTCAAGACTCAGAAAGACCTGAGTCTCAAGCCTTCCTCAGATGCTTACTTGCTGTGTGACCTTGGGTGGCCTCAGTTTCCTCATCTGTAAAATGGGGATAATAACAGCCTCTCTAACAGTGTAGGGATCAAGTGAGATAACATTTGTGAAGCACTTTACAAACTATAAAACACTATAGAGACACTAGACATTAGCACCTTAGTTTCCTCATCTGCAAAATTAGAGTGGTGGATCACTAGATGACCTCTGCTATGTTCTTCGAAGACGAAAGATGAACAACTATGACAGTTATAATAGCCAGATGGGAAACCCAAATCTTCTCCTCATTCCCTGTGTGATTCTGGGAAAGTCCCTTCATCTTTCTGGGCCTCAGTATCCCCATGAGTAAAATAAAGGAGGTTAAATTAGATTATAGCAAAAAAAATTAGATTATAGTATCATAGACACACAAATTTAGGGTTATAGATGTTTGATGATCTTTAAGCTCCAAAACCAGGTGAATTAGCCCAATGTGTACATGTGTGCATATGTGTTCATACAAGTGGTTCCAGAGATAGTGGGTATGAGAAGGTAAGAAGATTAGAAGTAAGGAGTAAGGCCACAGTGCAGGGGTGGGGAGCCTGCCATAGTCCATTCCATCTTTTGAGCCCAAATGTCCTCCTTCACTCATAGTAAACAAAAGGTGGGGGGAGGGAACTCTGGGGGGGTGGGATCTAACAACAAAAAGAGGAGGTGCCAGGTTGCTGACTTTAGGAGATGATGACCCTTGGCTGCTACTTACCCAGCTTTCCAAACAACTCCACTCCCAGGGCAGCATAGATAAAAAACAGGAGCATGAAAAGCAGGCCAAGGTTCCCTACCTACATGAGAAGAAAGTAGAACAGGGGTCAGGCAGGCTGGCATCATGCCCGGGTGTTACCCATGCGCAGCCTCGACACACGCCACACCACACTTCCGATGTGCACTACAGCTCACCTGCAGGCTCAGGAAGGCAGAAATCCCTCCCGGGTGTCATCCACACACAGACTGGCCATATCCCACATGCCATCTGCTTCCTACCCCTAGTCACACACCACAGACCAGAGGCCCACAGTGGTAAGGTGGCCTGGTGTAATGCCTGGGTCTCCTCCCTCCACAGGCTCACCATATACCGTATGCCATGCATATTTCACAGAGCCAGGACCTGCCGCATTAGATGTGCTGGCATTGCGCATGGCCATCACCCATGCACAGGCTTATCACATACCAAGCTCAAAGGCAACCTTCAAGGCTCAGCTCCTCTTGGAAGCCTCTACTGAGCCCCTTCATTCCTATATTCTCCCTCCATGAATTAGCCTGTTTTTATTTATAGTTACATGTTGAATCCCTCAGTAAATTGTGAGTTCCTTGAGTTCTAGACTATTTTTGTCTTTACTTCTGGGCCTAGCATAGTGACTTGCATGGAATAGACACTGAGTAATGTTTGTTAGATTGAACTGAATCCATGGGTATATCCTTAACTAGCTTATCCACGACAGAGCCGCTCAGAAAGGTTCTAGTCGCCTTCCATCAGTGCATTTGAAAAAGGCTTCCTTTGCTTTCCCACATATAAAACAGTACTACCTCTAGCTGCTGTGGCCACTCAGAGGTAGTCTGCAGTTTTGGGTAGGACTTGTTTTTCCAGACGCTATCGTCTGTGCTGCTTAATCCCCTAGAGGCCAGAATAGGCAGCTGAGAAATTGATGAGAGTCCTTGCATGCTTTTTTTGTCTGTGTGTACACACCATCAGTGGTTTCTATGTTGTGAGATTTAAGGAGGGTAGAGCTATATTTATGTTCCTTGAAATCTAGAACTGCACTAACTCACTTTGGCACTGAGGAAAGGAAGCCACTCATCCTGGCTACCCTTTAGGCTTACTTTGGTCTTCTGATTTCCTCATGCTGGAGTTTCTTTTTCTTAACTCTTTTTCTCAGTTCCTCATTTTCCTAATGTCCCCAATGGCCAGGGATGATTTCTTTCGGCTTATCTCCAATGGCCACTGCTGGGTCCTAAGGCTAATGGGGAAGGGATGGTGGTGATATACTAGACTGAGTTGTTAGAAATTATTGGATATTTTGGGAACATTCAAGGTTCATTTGTTGGTCTGGGATCGTCCCTGGTGGATGATGGGGGGAGCAGCGAGTATAGCTCAGGGAAGTTAAGCTATGTGTCTTTCCACAGCTTTATTTCACTGATGTTTGGCTGGGAAACTGCCAATCATATGTACATGAGTTTAACCCAGGGATCATTAACCTTTTTTGCATCCTAGATCCTTTTGGCAGCCTGGGGAAAACCTATGAACTGCTTCTCAGAATATTGCTTTGTTTTGTTTTTCCACTTAAATTCTTAGTTGAAGGGAATGCTAAATTTCAGTTAATGTTGGTGAAAACAAAGATGTAATTTTATTCTCACTGCATTCATGAACCCCTGAAATCTGTCCATGGAAAAGCCTTAGCTTAAGAGAACTTTTAGCACGAGCTGGTAGAGCTATATCCTTCTCCAGTGCCCTGCTCTCCACTCCCATCACTGCCTAGTGCCCGCAGATGGGCAGGGAGACCACATGAATGTGGGTCCATGGGCCAACACCTTCATGATGGTGTCTAAAGCCCATGTATAGCCAAATATGGGCATTTGCTAGTGAAATTCTAATACAGAATGCCATAGAATCCCATGGCTTAAGAGTCAGAAAGGACTTCAGAGGCATCTTATCCAACCCCTACCCAAACAAGAATATTCTACTGCACAATCATAAGGTCATAGACTGAGAATTGAAAGGGACCTTATAGATCAGGAATTCTTAACCTGGGCTCTGTGAAGGGATTTTTAGGAGATCCATGAATTTGAATGGGAAAAAAATGCATCTTTATTTTCACTATTAATAGAAATTTAGCCTTTCCTTAAATTATGAATTAAAAAAATTATGACAAGAGGTCTATTGGCAAAGTCAAGAAACCCTGGATTCTAACCCTTCCAATTATGGTTTATCCTTCATTCTCGAAGAGGACCATGACATCAGGAAGATGACATGACTTGCCTTTGAATTGGATTTGAGTGAGTGAGGGTTGTGCAAAGTCACCAGCTTTGAATCGTCTGGGTCCAGTGGATAGATATAGATCAGGATGACTGGAGATGGCCCAGGATACAGTGAGAGATCTTGGCCCCTTTAAACTAAGCTCTTTTCAGGTTCTCACTCTGAGTGGAGCAACACCTATTCAATGAATAGGCCTGTTTAAGAAGTGAGTCAAGGGATGGCCCCTTTAATAATAATAAAAATTATATATATATATATATATGTATATATCAAACTAGGAGGGGAGGGAAGACCTTCAGGGTTTCTGGCCAAAAGAGAAACAATTACTATTTACATTTATTCTGAGCCAGGAGGGCCCAAAAATAACCATTAAGTGGTGCTGGGATACTCCTCCAGTAATCCTTTATTGACCTCCCCTAATTCCTCTGAACTACAGATATCACTGTCTCTATTGCACATTTCTTAGCTCTTAGCCTGGAGTCTTAGGACATCTTTTCCATTGTTAATTGCTCTGTGCAAATCTCACTTCTCAAATCAGAATGTGATTTCCAGAGTGGCCCCAAACCGTGAGCTCCTCAATCTAAGGCAGCAACCACATCAATTCTTCCAGGGAGGCAGAAAGAGTTAAAAGACTTGAATTCAAATTTTAGTTCTTTGCTAATTATGTTACATGGGCAAGTCCCTTAATATTACTGGGCTTTTGTTTCTTCATCTGTAAAATGACAGGGTTGGTCTAGACAACAGCTACTTAACTTTTTATGTCATGGATCTCTTTGAAGTCTGGTGAAGCCTACAGACTCATTAGCAGAATTAAAAATAATTGAAGGAAATGCTAAATTTCAGTTAGAAATGAGTGAAAATAAAGATGTAATTTTTTTCCTACCTAAGTTCACAGAATCCCTAAAGTCCATCCATAGACCCCTTGGTTATAGTGGACTCCAGGTTAAAAAGGCCCTTCCAACTTTAAGTTTTAAGTTTCTAGCTTAGTTCCTGAGAATTCCAGTTTGTCTGTCACACAGCAAAACCAGCACTAGTAATGCTTGTTGAATGAATGCTTTAGGCAGATGGACAATGGATGGTCCTAGTATATGGCTCAAGAAAAGTTGCCAGGGAACAGGGAGACTGCAGTTTCTGAGTGGCACCTGGGGTCAGAGCAGTATATCCTAGATCCTGAAGACTGGTAAGAGACTTGAGAAAATCTATCTATCTTCAACAGATGGGACCCTCCCCTAGTTTTAGAGCTCACTCTCAGTCACCCATTCTAGTGTCATGGCATTTCTTCTGTGAATCTAACCCAAATCTTGGATGTTCAGTGTAGGTTGGCTCCCTTAGGCCCATGGTCTGTGGAGGCCAGCATCTCTACCTCTGTCAGAGACAAGAGACCATGAGGCAGCTGTCCTGGACCTTTTTACCTCCCCAACCCATGGCCCCTTCACAACTTTTCCCACAGCTCCAAGTTATAGCCAGGCCCTTGGCCTGGGGGAAGAGAGTTGACAAGGGCACAGAGACAGAGTCCTAGGACCTACCTGGGGCAAAGCCTGAACCACGGTGTCCAGTAGGGCCCGCATCCCAGTGGCCATTTTCAGTAGCTTCAGTACTAGGAGGGAAACCAGAAGTAGAACATAGATATACAGAGTAGGAAGTTAGCCACTCCTGGGGAAATCTGGGCCAGGTCAGAGTCTGAAAGAAGGGGAAGCTGAAGAGGGGAGGCAGGATGGTGGGCTGAGAAGAATGTTGAGTTCCGTCAGGAGCCCTGGGTTTTAGTCCTGGTTCCGTTGCTAATTCACTGTGCAGATTACTTAAGCTCTTTAGGCCTCAGTTTCTTCATTGGCATCATGGGGATGATTAAACCTGCCTACTTAATTGATGCGGTTGTTGGCAGTGGGAGAAAGAAACAAGACAACTGGGGCCTAAAGAAAAGAGCCCCGTCCTAGGAGTCCAGAGTCCTGGGTTTTAATCTCAGCTCTAATACTGACTTGGTTTGTGATCTTGAGTGTGTTATTTTTTAGCCTCAGTTTCCCCATTCACAAAATGAAAAAGAATGGTGTTCTATGATAATAATTGTCATAATCCTTCACAACTATACCCTCCAGGGCTGTGTTTTATCTAAACCTTGCATCTTCCCCAAGGTCTAGCACACAGGTGTTTTATAAGTGTTGAATGAATGAACGAATCCAACTATTCTCTCATTTGATCCTAACAATACAATACTCTCCAATTAAATAGAGGAAACTGGGACCCTGAGAGGGGAAGTGACCCAAGGTCACACAGTGAGTGAGTAAGTAGAATACTAATCCAGGTTAAGAATTTAGGTCTCATAGGCCCCCGTCTAGGGAATCTCCTGAACATTCTGCCTTTGCTAACCTAGAATGGTCTTGTTAAGACAACTCTTCTCTCACCTCCACCAACCTCGTCACGGCACCTTTCCCCCACTCCACCCCCTCTCCCACCTCTCAGTAGACGCCAGCTCAGTTGGAGCAGGCTGCCTTGTGGTAGACAACATTTTGGCCCCGGCATAGCCTACCTCGAGCAATGCGGAGTACACGCATGATTCGGATGATGGTAGGGTTAATAGGCAAGGCGGCATTCATCTCGATTTCCTCCAGGGTGATGCCCATGATGGAGAGAAGCACTATGGCCAGGTCCAACTGATTCCACCTGAGCGAAGGAGTACCTGGAGTTCATTGAGGCCCCTAATCCTCCCTGCCTCTCCCAATCTATCTCTTTCCTTTTCTCAAAGGAAATTAGGTTCTAGGCACCCATAACCATTGGTGTTGGCAGCTTCCTGACTTCATCTCACATCCCCCATACCCTTTTGGTAGTATATGGAGAGAAGCTCAAAGTTTTAGAGCTAAAAAGACCTTAGTCTTGTAGATGTGGAAACTGAGACCCAGTGAAGAAAAATGACTTTCCCAAGGTCATTCAGAGATTTGGGGTAGAAATGGAACTAAAAATCTGGTCTCTAGACTCTCAGGCCAGGGTTCTTTCCACTATATCACAGCACAGAATTCTTGCCTACCAGGACAATCAAATACAGTGAAATCACTGGCTCTCATAATTTTTATCACATCATTTCCTGCCCAAGGACCCACCGCCTACAGAATAAGGTCCATACCTCTCCCCTTTGATACTTTAAGCTGGCCTCTTCATTATTCCACCACCTCCTCTCCTTCTTTTCTCCACCCCTATCTCCACCCCTTGTCTCCTTCCTCTCCCTAGCCCCCCATACAAACATGTACCCACCCAGTCTCATTTCCACTTCTGAGCCTTCCTTCAGCCTGTTACTCCACTTGGAATGCCTTCCCTTCTTCTTTTACCCTATCAAACTTCTACCTTTCATGTAGAGACCAGCTCCTGGGAAGCTATCTCTGACCACCAGAGGTCACAGTGATCTCTCTCGCCTCAGATGTCCTGCTAACACTTTTGATTGCTGACTGTGGACTACCCTGTTCTGTTCAACTGAGGTTTTCTGGATATAAACCTTATCTTCCCTCAGTCTGTGGCTTTACTCTCAGCAGTTACAGCCCCGGCCCTTCTCTGTCTTTCACCAGAACTCTGTGAGTTCCCTGAAGACAAGCCCTGGGTCTGTTTCTCCTCTGTTTCCCCCATTCTTCATCTGGACTGATCAATCAATCAAACAGTAAGCATTGGTTAAGTATTTGCTGTACATAAGGCACTGTGCTAAGCCCTGGGAATATGAAGAAAGGCAAAAATAGTCTTTGTCTTCAAGGGCAGTACGGTGAAGTGGATGGAGCATTGGACTTCGTCAGGAAGACCTGAGTTTGAATCCTGTCTCAGATACTTGTTCACTTTTTGACCTTGGATAAGACAGTCTTGTATTGGACAAGGACTCTTAAGCCTCAGTTTTCCTTATCTGTAAAATGAGGGGGTTGGACTTGATCTCTAAGATTCCTTCAACTCCAAATCTACGATTCTCAGAACTTACGTTCTAACAGGGAGAGACAACTTATAAACGAATAAGTAGAGATAAGGTACACACAGGGTTAATGGGTGGGAGGTTCTCGATGCTGGGGGGACCAGAAAGACTTAGTGATCCATTAATTACCCAATTCCCTACACTGGCTCTGTTTAGAGAAGTCAGAGTAATGACTATATTCCAGAGTTCATTTTTCCAGAATTGCAGTTATGAAAAAGTTTGTATTTCACCTTGTCTCCTTTCTTCCCTATCCAGTCCCCACTTTGGGCAATTATCCTCTCTCTCCCTTCTTCAGTCTGGACTCCTTTCATCCCCACCCTCTTTCCCTTCACCACACACCTGTCCTTGAAGAATCGACGGAACCCAAAGGCCACCAGTTTCAACATAGCCTCGAAGACGAAGACGATGGTGAAGACATAGTTACAGTACTTCAGGGCCTCATCCAGGGACTGAAAAGAAGCTCAGTGGTTAGTTCAACTCCCTTGACAAAATGAGACACCAGAGATAACTTAGAGGTCATCTCAGGCCTCTTCTGGCTTTCACTTGTCAGGGCTGTACAGAGGGGATTTCTGCTCACTAGAAGGTTTGTTTAGATGAGCTCTGAAAGCCCTTCTTAGGGATCTGAGACACTAATTCTGTGATTTTGTCCAACTCGTTTATTGAAGAGGAAACTCACTCCCAGGGAAATGATTTGTCCAACGTCCAACAGTGAGTGGGGGAGAGGCAGAGCAGGGGCTAGGGGCTAGACCCTAATACACTTTGTTTTACTGTACATGGCTCTTACAAGGTCATAAGACGCCATAGCCCTTTCCTCCTTTGGCCAGATGTCATTACAGGTACAAAGTGGAACTTTTCTTTTTATGGAAAATTTTTGTTTTCACATTGCTGATAAACATAAGAAAACCACAAAATATACTTCCTGAAAACATAGGCAATGTAACCCAGAAGGCAGTTTTTTCAAAACTAGGGATGGACTCAACAGAGGTGAGAGGGAGTGGACTTGACCTTGGAGGTCCTTTCCAGCTCTTGATGTTATGGTCCTTTATCACTTCACCCAAGTAGCCCTGTATTTCACTTATTTACTATGTGCCAAAATGGTAGAAGAAGGCTGTGCACTTCAACGAGACAGTACCAAGTTGTCTATCACATTTAACCATCACATTGTAATAATGTCCTCTTTAATGGTTGCAGTCAATGTGTATACTGTTCTTCTGGTTCTGCTTTCTTCCCTTTGAATCACTTCATACATATCTTCTCATACATCCTTGGATCCTTCTTACTTTTCATTCTTATGGGAAAATAACATTCCACTACATTCACATTCCACATTCCTATTCAGTTATTTCCTCATCTTAGGCATAGTCTGTTTCCAACCTTTGCTACTACATATAGTGCTACTCTAAATATTGCTTATATTGGTGGTTCTTTTCTTCCTCTTCATAGCTTACTTGAGGTACACACCTACTAGTTACATCATTGGGTCACACAGTAGGAGTAATTTTGTTATCTTTATTTTATAATTCTATATTGGTTTCCATAAGAGTGGGAATAGTTCATGGTTCTACCAACAGTGAATTAGCATTCTTTTCCCCCCAACAACTTCACCAATACTGAAATTTTTCATCTCTTAGTATCTTTGCCAATTTGCCAAGTATAAAGTGATAACTCAGAGTTATTTTAATTTGTATTTCCATGCATATTAATAATTTTGAATAATTTCCCAGATGGTTGATTATGTTTCTTCTTTTGAAAATTGCTTATTTATGCCCACTTATATATTGAAGGATGGCTCTTAATCTTAAAGATTTGTGTAAACTCCCTGTAGAATATAGATGTCAGACTTAGTTTGTTGATAGCTTCTTTTTACTTCACTTCCATTTCCCAATATATCCCTTTTTTCCTAGGCACACACCCTTTGACACAAGGAATGGAAAAGCGAGATACAAAAATAGTTCAGTAAAACTGAGCACCATATCAGCCAAGTTGAATGTTCTATGCTAGGTTCTATATTTATATTCCTCTAACTTCTGCAAAGGAAGAAGGGAGGTAGATTCTTATCTCTCGTCTTTATGGCTTAGCTTAGTTATTCAAAATTTTCACTATTCAATTTTGATTTCCACTTTTACTGTTGTAGTCATTGTATCTATTGTTTCCCTGGTTGTTGCACTTTGTATCAGTTCATATAAATCTTCCCATGCTTCTATCATATTCACTATTTCTTATGCCATAGTAATATTCCATTACATTCACATACCACAATTTGTTTAGCTATTTTCCCAATTAATAAGTGTCTACTTTATTTCCAGTTCCTTACAATACAAAAAAATGTGCTAGATTTTTAAAAAATCAAATATAATACCATGATTTCCCATATCCTCTATCTTTTCTTCTGGCAGCAATGTTTAATTTGTGAAAATTTTATTTTAAATGTGTTTATATGATAAAGAGCATATATAAATCAGTCATCAAACATTTATTAAACACTTACTACATGCCAGACTCTGAACTACGTGTTGGGTATACAAAGAAAGGCAAGAGCAGTCCTTGCCTTGAAGGAGCTTACAATGGGAGAGACATGTAAAGGAATAGATACATATGAGATATATACAGAATAGGTAAAAGGTAATCTTAGCAGGGAATTATTTTGTCTTTTATAATTTCTTTTCTATTTAGCTAATCAAGACCTTTTCAGTTTCCTCAGTTTCCTCATTTGGAAAGTGGGGATAATAATAGTACCTATCTTGTAGGGCTGTTGTGAGAATCAATTGAGTCATTTGTAGAAAGTGCTTAGCACAGTGCCTGGAATATAGTAGGCGTTATATAATGCTTATTCCCTTCCCTTCCTTTCCCCTTAAATGCTTTCACAGCTCCAGCTAGGGTCTTACAAGCTTTCAGTGTTCCCAAAGTGCTACGATCCAGGAGTAGGTCTGTTCACTGCCCTTCTGGTCTACAAGTTCCTGACCCAGGTTTGGATCTAGTTGGGAGTTTCAGTAGGCTACTGCTGGACTCAGCCACTGTCCGCCCACTGGGACGCTCTGTAGGTTCAGAATAATTGAATTGATGTCTCCCTTTTTGTCTCAGATGCTGAGCTCTGCTTCTGGATTGGAGCCAAACAACTATCATTTACTTTTTGAGCTTATTCCTTGCTCGGAGCACCACTAGAGTCAAAGCTTGTGACTGCTCCTTTCTGCCCTGGATCTGTGACACAGAACTGGGTAGCGGGTGACAGAGCTGCCAGATGGCATCCATTCCTGCACCCAGTGCTTGTGAAGAGAATCCCCTGGGATCTCTTTCTGTTGTAATGCTTCCTGCCCCATGCCCAATCTCAACCATCTCTCAGTCCCTGGGTGCACTGCCACACAAAATCCTCCAAGACTTCTTCCTCATTGTCTGTACATCCTTCTGTCTGTCTTCCTAAGCTGCCCTGGGCTGGAAAAATGACTCATTGTAATTTTTTCTTGGCTTTCCTGATCAGAATTGCTTCTGTGTCCTCCCTTCCTTCCTTTTCTTCCATCCTTCTCTTCTTCATTTCTCCTTTTTCCCTCCCTCTCTCCTTCCTTCTTTCTCTTCTTCCTCCCTCTTATTTTCAGCTCCTTTTTTTTGGCAATTGGGGTTAAGTGACTTGCTTAGGGTCACACAGCTAGTAAGTGTCAAGTGTTTGGTCTGAGGCCAGATTTGAACTCAGGTCCTCCTGACTTCAGCACTGGTGCTCTATCCACTGCACCACCTAACTGCCCCTTATTTTCAGTTCTTTATTATCTCCCTTCCTCTTTTCCTCACCTCCCCCATCCATTAAGAAGTCAAGAAAAACTAAACCCATTAGAAATATGTATAGTCTAGATCTTTGTTGATGAGGAGTGGCAGGCAAGCTGTACTTCAATGCTTTCTCTCGCTCTGCCATCTTGACTCTGCCCCCAAAGGAGGTGATTCTGGATAGAGGCTCAGTCCTTTGCTGAAATCTTTAGCTCTAAGACCTATGTAAGAGTAAAATCCTGGTGTAGCAAGTCTTTGTCCTTGGCTTCCTCTCAAAACCATGCTTGTGAAGGAAACTGAGTCCCAGATAACGTCAAGGGAGAGAGCAATGAAAATGTATCCATTCACAAATGTGTTAGAAATTGTTTTCCATTACCTTTTGTTTATTTCTGTTCAGATTAAATCTTCTACTGTTATTCATTGCCTAGGTCTTCTAGCATGAAAAGCCACTGAATGCCTCAATCTGAATTAATTTAGGAAGTTTCTAGTTTTTGTCCTGGAGAGAGGCAACTGGGCCAAGGTAGATAGATTACCATTCTACATCCTTACTACTTGAACCCGAGTCTGCAGAGGATCTATAGAGTATAGGTACCTAATGAGCTATGCTTTATTTTGAACAAGCAGGTTTTGTTTTTGTTTTTTGCAAAGTCCCTTCTTTGTTATTGAAAATGATTTATGTATTAATGGAGATTATTTTTTAAATAGCAAATATAATTTATTTATAATTCCAACTGGTTCTGTATTTTTTCCCCATTGAATTTTATTTATAGCTTGCTTATTTTCTCTTTTTGAGATACAGAGGTTTCAGTTCTCAATTTCTCTTTCATTAATCTGGATATTTTATATTATAGGTATGCATCCATGTCATTAAAATGTTCAATTCTGTTTTAATGGAATTGTTGTTGTATCTCCATTTGTTATGATATTCCACCTTATCATTTTAAATAATTTGGTCTTCCTCTCTCTTTTTTACTTAAGGGACACCAGATTAGCTAACAATTTATCAATTTTATTGGTATTAAAAATACACCTCTTTGGTTTGTTAAAATCAGTTTAATTTCCATTTTTGATTCTATTTGAGCTTTAATTCTCAACCTCCTTCATGTTTTTTTGGGGGGATTATTAATTTTTTGGGTTTATAATAAACAAATTCTCAGTTCATTAGCTCTCTCTTTTGTTAATGCAAATATTCAGGGATAAAAATTGCCTCTAATGACTACTTTAGCTGCATCCCAGAAATAATGGTATGTTATTACTGTTATCACTCACTTTGATGTAATATTTATTGTTTTTCACATTTATTGATTTATCCAATATTTAGAATATTGTTTTTAGTCTCTGTATTTTTAGGTCTGTATCTTTCATTCATTTTTTTTTTATTGCTTACTATTTTTACTGGGTTGCAGTCTGTAAGAGGTTTAAAGTTTCTGCCTTTATTCACTTAATTTCACTTTTTTGGTTTGTTTATTTAGGAGGGCCTTAGAACATGATGATTTTTTTTTTTGCGAAAGTAGCATGATTGCTCCCCAAATGAGCACACTAAAAATCGTATTCAATGATTTCCATATAGGCCTTTCAATTCAGTTTTTCTAACATTCTTCCCAATTCTGATTTTTTTTGAACTTTGTTAGTTTTATCAAGTTCTGAAACTGTTAACATTTTTATGTTAACTGTGTTCATTATTTTCATGTTTACCATTAATGCCTTACTAGCTGCATCTTTTGCATTTCAGTTAAGTTTTCCTTTAAATACTTAGTTGCTATGTCATCCAGTACAAACATATTTATTATTATTATTAATAATAACATTTGTATACTTCATTAAGGTTTACAAAACACTTTACATTTTACATTATCTCATTTGATCCTCACAACATTGTGATGTAGGTGGTATTTTTAGGGCAGCTAAGGGGTGCAGTGGATAGAGTACCAGCCCTGGAGTCAGGAGGACCTCAGTTCAAACCCAGCCTCAGGCACATAATACTCACTAGCTGTGTGACTCTGGGCAAGTCATTTAATCCCAATTGCCCTCACCAAAAAAATAAAAAAAGACGTAGGTGGTATTTTTAGGTTACCTTACAGTTGAAGCAACTGAGGCTTAGAGAGGCTAAGTGACTGGTCAAAAGTCACATAATAAGTGTGTGGGGCAAGATTTGTACTCAAGTCTTCCTAACTCCAAGTCCAGAACTCTACCTGATATGCCAACTAGCCATATTGATACTGTTTTATAGTATGTTGTGACTTCAAGCACAATGTGGTTTTCCTGTTTGTTTCTTTTAAACTTATCCATTTTAGCTTTTTTTTTCTGAAATTATGACAGCAGCTCCTGTTTTTCTATTCAATGGATCTCTATATGTTTTATCTAAGAAACCCATTGTAAGTCTATAGATGGCCCTATGTCTTTGGTGTGTTTTCTATCAGCAATATATTATTGAGCTGTGTTTTCAAATCTAGTCTTCAACTCTTTCTTTTCATGGGCAAACTAAATCCATTTACATTAAAGTTTATGATTATTGAGTTTTCTTTCCATAATATTCTGATAGAGTGCATTTAATGTTGTTCTCTCCAAATCTCCTCTTTCTAAGCAGACAGTGATAATTCTCCGAAGTGACCTACCGAAAAGATAGAATGACTACTGGGGAATAGGATCCAATCCTAATATGAAAGGAAACTTTTCTGTGCTAGATAAGCCCTGTGCCAGAGATCAAGGTAGAATATAGCTTGTTTTGTGAATACTATTTAGTTAAACTCTAGCCCTGACATGTTCCAACACACACACACACACACACACACACACACACACACATTCTCCTTCCATACCAAGTGCATTCTGTTTTGACTGATTAAAAAAAGAACCCAAAAAACTTTTCATCTACCTCATCATTTGAGACAGGACTCTGGTTTATTAATCACCTTTCCCTTACACTATCTTTTACATCTTCATTGGTTTGTTCTTCAACTGTGGTATCAAACCATAACTACCAAAATGTGAATAGAACTTTGTCCTAGGATGCCAACCTCTGAGAGGTTTCATCTTATCATTCTAATGTGTTGAAATCTTTTCAGATCTTTACTTTGCCCTACAATGTGTTAGTTTCATGCCATCTTAAAATCTGACAAACATGCTACCTATGTCTTCATCCAAGTCATTGATAAGACTACTGAGCAGTACAGAGCTAAAGCCAGACAAGGGAATACAAATCTTTACTACAGCAACCACTGTCCCTGTGGTCCTCTGCCAGCCTGTGCACCATGCTGCCTTTCTCTGGGCCTCCATTTTTTCATTTATAAAATAAGCAGGTTGACCTAGGTGATCCATCTCTCCCTCCTCTCCCCTACAATGGAGCATCTCGTATACCTCACTTTGGAGATTAATTCATTAGACAATGAAGATGAGTGATCAACAAATCACAGTCATAGAACATCAGGGCTGGAGGGGAACTTAGAATATTGAACCTAGAATGTCCCTAGCATAGTTTCTTCTACATAGTAGATTCTAAATAAATGTTTGCTAATCGGAATTCATTTGGATAGAAGCCTTAGGACAGAGATCATAGAATGTTAGACCTGGAAGGGACCTTAGAACAAAAAGAGCACGTAGAATGTTTGAAATGGCAGGTACCTCGATAACCATTTATTCCAGTCCTTTTATCTTAAAGATGGAAAGACAGGCCTGGAGAGGGGAAGGGACTCATTTAAGGGTTCTCTAAAGGAAAACTAGGGCCCAGGTTTTCTGACTCTCACTATACTGGTTTTTTTCCTGAACTGTACCAAGTTCTATGAAGGAGTAAATGAGCCACCTTAAGACTTAGGATCAGGGGCTCTAGGTCTGAGAATAAACAAGGCTAACTGCCTGGCAATGAAAGGAGAAATGTGTCATTGATGAAAACTTTTTACTCATGAGCTCCAAACATTCTGATGGGGCTCACGTCTCCTTGAAGCAGAGAATGCCCCCTACCTCTCCTCTCTTTGGTAGGGCTTCATTGGGCATATCTGGAAAGCCTTTGGTAGCCAGATGGGAATGGCTCCAGGGGATAGCTTGTGACCAGGGGGATGAGGTGCTATTGAATCAGACAGGTGCTGGGATCCAAATTGAACTTAGGCCAGTTTTGGTACATTCTAGGATTCTGTACATATCCTCGACCCTCCTACACACAACAAAATAAGTTGACAGCTTCCATGACCACTCTGGCCTACGATGATCTCCTTCTTATGATATCCTACAGTCTTCCTACAATCTGCACCACACGCTGGTACATTTAGATATTGGCCCATTTTTAGTCATGCTTGGGTCCTGACTCCCCAGTCAGACCACTACCTGAGCACAGGGCCCAGGTACGTCCCTCCTCAGGTTGGCCCTAGATTGTGGGTGGGGCCTGGGTCTACTCCTTCTCATCTCCCCCAGCACAGCCAAACAACAGCTGAGGACAAAGGGGTCAGGGGAGGTTAATAAAATCTGCTGCAATGAGATGAAAATAGAGGCAATCTTGGCAGGCAGCAGAGGCCCTCCAAGTCACCATCCTGAAGTCCTGATCCTTACCTTGGGCTGGTTATAGTGTTCCATAGACATGGTGATCACATTGATCCCGATAATGAAGGTAATGAACAGGTCCAAGTAATGGCTGGTGCACAGACTGTGGATGGACCTCCGGGTGGGTGAGTAGTCAGCATAGTACGGCCTGCGCTGGGCCTCTATGGAGAGAGAAGGGAATGCACAGGGGCTGGTGAGTGTTCTGGAGACCAGCCATGGCAGAGCAAGAAGGGGGTACAGCCACTGACGTTTCCTTCCTGCCCTTTTCCCATGGCTCCCGATTGGGGAATCGGGGCCTGATATCTATCTTCCAGGAGGCAGATCGGGAACTTCTGAGCGTCCTGGACTGGGTCACCCTCCATGCAATGCTTGCCCATCCAGCACCACCAGCTCCCAGACTTCCTGTCCCAGCTCTCAGAAGTGCCTGATCTCCGTGCCCAGGAAGATTTTGTGAACACATTTCCCGATAGGGTGACTAGAGGATCCCGATTCCTGGGAAGACAGCCTTTTTCCTGGGGATTTCTGAGCGGTCCGGGGCCCGGCCTGCATTGGAAAGTGCAGAAATATAAGGAAAAGGACCAGAGGAAAGAACCGAAGGGCGAGTGTGGGGATGAGAGGATTGAAGAACCAAATGTTTCCACACCTTTGGTCTGCTTGGGGTAGCACAAGAGGAAGATGATCTGAAGCTTTAGCTACATCAGCTTCTGGGCTGAAGGATGCATTTGGGTCAAATGTGTCTGCCAACAGTGCCTTTGGAAACCGCTGAGGTTTTTTGCCCTTTTTTTTTTCTTGCTGTGTATCCTTATACTCTTTGTGACCCCATTTGGAGTTTTCCTGGTAAAGATACTCCAGTGGTTTGCCATTTCCTTCTCCAGCTCATTTTACAGATGAGGAAACTGAGGCAAACAGGGTTGAGTGACTTGCCTACAGCCACATGGTTAGTGGGTAAGGCTGGATTTGAACGTGGATCTTCCTGATTCCAGGCCCAGCACTCTATCCACTGTGCCATCTAGCATAGTATATAATATCCTTACATACTAATATCTATTAGGGCAACCAGCCCTCTGAACAGTCAGCTCTCAGTTATCCAGGGCCTAAGGCTCCTACATGGGGATTATCCAGACCCAACAATTCTTCTCCTCTTTCTTATTCAGGGCCTTTTGCTCAAGAGGGAAGCTTCGAGGGGGCAGCTAGGTGGTGCAGTGGATAGAGAAATGGGCCTGGATTCGGGAGGACCTGAGTTCAAATCCGGCCTCAGACGCATAACACTCACTAGCTGTGTGACTCTGGTCAAGTCACTTAACCCCAATTGCCTCAAAAAACAAGAAAAAAAAAAGGAAGAAGAAGAAGAAGAAGAAGAAGAAGAAGAAGAAGAAGAAAGTTTGGTCCCAAGGGAAGGAGTAAATTGGAGCCAGTCAAAAGGGTCACAAGGTGAAAGTCTAGGTCAAATGGATATTTGGATTTTGATGACATCCTGTGCTGTGTGTACCTCTCATTAATGTGGATAATTGAGAGATGGCTTCTTTGACCTACTACAGCTGTTGTTTATAGGATCACATGATCATTGATTTAGAGTTGGAAGGGGCTTCAGAAACCACTACCTAGCTAGTAGGGGCAGCTAGGTGACACAGAGGATAGAATGCAGGGCCTGAAGTCGGGAAGATGAATCTTCCCGAGCTCAAATCTGGCTTCAGACACTTATTAGCTGTGTGACCTTGGGCGAATCACTTAACCCTGTTTGCCTCAGTTTCCTCATCTGTAAAATGAGCTAGAGAAGGAAGTGGCAAACTGCTCTAGTATCTTTGCTACGAAAACCCCAATGGGGTCACGAAGAGTCAGACATGACTAAAAACGACTGAAGAACAATGACCCAGCTGGTAAGTGATGGAATCATAATAGCTAAGACTTCAACGTATGTATCCCCCTCATTTTACAGATGAGGAAATGGAAACCTACGATGGTTAAATGATTTACCCGGGGTTACATATGTAGTCAGTCCTCTTTAGAAGTGGGATTTGAACCCAGGAACTCTGAGAAGATCCAGTGTTCTTTCTCCACTGTCTCACTCCATGTCGTCTATAATTGGTACCAATGGGCTAGAGTGTTGTTTGGCGTGCCCAGAGAAAGGACCTGTGGGGACAGTTGGGGCCAGTGCCAGTTGACCCAACAGGCCAGAAGTACAATCCTAGCTCTGGCCCCTGAACAGTGGTTTTGATGACAACAAATGAATCTTCAAAGCTGAGAATCGAGGAAGTGGTTTATCATACAGGTGGCCTTGTAGATAGAGTGCTGGACCATGCAAGTCAGGAAGACCTGAGATTGAATCCTTCCTCAGATACTCACTAGCAAGTCACTTAACTTCTCTTTGCCTCAGTTACCTCATCTGTAAAAAAGGAGCCAATAAAAGCACCTATCTTATAGGGAAAGTACTTTGCAAATATTAAAGCAGTGTATAAATATTTTATTGTGAAAATCAGGGGGATATGGGGATTGGGTTGAATTATCGTGGTATTAGAGCAGATAATCTTAACCTGGAACCCATGGCAGATTTCAGGGGATCAAGGACTTGGATGGGGATAAAATATTACATCTGAATCTTTGCTAACTTCTAAATGAAACTGAGCATTTTCTTCAATTACCAATGTAGGAACAAAACATTCTTTTGAGAAGGGAGGGGTCCATAGGCATCACCAGACTTACCAAAGGGGCCTCTGATACAAAAAGGTCAAGACCACTTATGTTAGAGTTGAGGGATGGGATAGGAGATAGGAGAGTTCTGTCTTCCTTCTGGCCATGGGTGGAGGTAAAGGAGAACTTTCTAAGTAGCTGAGTAGCCACTATAAAAACACAGAATGGGCACCCACAAACCAGTCACTCAATAAGGAGGTCTCTTTTCAGACTTAAGGAGAGCCGAGAATTGCAGAATTGGCAAAATCCAATTTGCAAAGCATTTTACAAATATTCTCACAATGAATGAGCTTAATAACCCTGTGAGGGAGAGAAGATTTTTTTTTTTAAATTCTCCATTTTATGGATAAGGAAACTGATTGTTAGTGAGGTCATGTGACTTGCCCAGGGTAACACAGACAGTAAGAATCTGACGTAGGATCCTAAATCCAACACTCTTTCCACCATACCATGCTTCCCCTCTGGGAAATGACTTGCCCAGAGTCACAAAGCCAGCTAATGTGATAGCCAAGCCTTGAATTCCAGGTGGTGTCACTCAGGAAGGAGGTCTGGAAGGAGAGAGAACATCAGTATAGCCTGCTGGGACATTGCTGAGCTGGTCAGTATATGGTAAAGAAACTACAATTTGGAAACCCCAAGAAAGCCAGAGGGAAACATTTGATGGTCACAAGACACTTATGTACTGTGGTCACACAGGGCATCACCACACAAATGCAGCATGCACAGGCAGGGGCTGAATGGGAAGAGAGGAGATCTTATGCAGAGGTTATGGTGGGAGGGCAGAATTGATGTTTGGGGCCACGATTCAGGATTTCTGATCCATGCAACAGCCAATTGCTGTGGATAAAAAGCCAAGTGCCCATGTCCTTAATCCAAGGACACCTGGGACAGCAAAGGGGCTTAGTGTAGGAGAGATAGCAGAGAACAGGAGCCCCGAGGCTCCACACTGCACCAATTCAAGAGCTCCCCTCTTGCATGGCCTCTAAGGCTAAGAAAGGCACCTGGTGCTCAGAGCTGCAAGGGGCTACACATGCTCCTTGGGACCCTGCTGAGCATTCTAAGGCGCCCCAGTAGCTGAGGAGAGGGTGGGATACAGGAGGTCCAAGTCTAGGAGAGCATTCTGGAGCAGAGTAGGGGTGAATCCAGGGGAGCAGGCAGTGGGAAGCGATCAAGCACATCCTCAGTGATGCTAGGAGGCCAAGAAGCGAAGGCAGGGGCAGCCTCTTCTTGGCTCTGCCCTGGCCTTCACACCAAGTGTCAATAACACTACAAAACTCACTTCTCCGTCTTCACCCAGGCCTGAGTAGAATGGAAGCTCCTCCCCAGCTCAAAGCCCAGCTCATAGCAGGTACTTCAAAAATGCCTGCTGACTGATTGACTGAGCTCTCGGCTGCAGATAAGGCTGCACCGAGGTGGACAGGGCTGGGGACAGGGCAGGGAGGAGAAGCTAGTGGACTCCTCCCCTACATCTTCCTTGGGTTTGTTTCCTTTCCACATTTGAATCCTTTTCTGACAGCCCTGAAGGGCGGCTCCCCTGAGAGCCTCCCTTCTCCAAAGGTTCCTTTCGCCTGCCTTACTTTGGATGAAGAAGGGTCAGGGAAGCTCTTGGCTTCCTCTCAGAAACACTGGTCCCTCTGGCCTTATAGCACCGGCTGAGCTGCTTTGATATTTGCCTCTTTGGGAAATGCTAGAAAGCAAAGGAGGCGGAAAGGTCAGTGCTCTATGAGGCCAAGGAAATACCTGTGTTAGGGAGGATGCCTGGAAAACAAGGGAAATGGTTTTTAGCTTTTGAAAGGGAAAATACAAATGTTCTAGAAATTCTCTCACTCTCTCTCTCTCTCTCTCTCTCTCTCTCTCTCTCTCTCTCTCTCTCTGTCCATTGAGAAACCAAGGGAATCTTCCTGCTCCCTTTCCATTCCCCAAAGCTTCCAGTGCCCACCTCTTCTCGGAAGCCTTCCTAGACTATCCTCACCCACACTAAGCTCTTGTTCCCTTGACTTCCCATAACATTATTATTCTCTATCACACATTTGACACTTACTTATACTGTCCTATACCATCCTGTAAATCACCACTCTCCCCAGATGAGATCTTCTCAAGGCCAGGCCACTCGTCCTCCTCCTCCTCCGCCCCTATCTGTGGAATCCCTGAGGTCAAGGCCTTGATCTGCCCTTCTCTCTCTTCCCCAGAGTATAAGCTCCCTAAGGGCAATGCTCTGGGTCCTTCATTTCTCTCCCTAGTCCAGATGGAGAGCTTTCTTAGAGCAGGGCATGGGACCCTTTGGTTTCCCTCAAAGGATGAGCTTCTGGAGAACGGGCCTGGATCTCCTTCTTTGTGTCTTCAGAATCAGCACGTCATTAGAAGTCACAGCCACTCTGCTCACTTCCCCCTGCCCTTCCCAGCTCACTCTGGTCTGTCCCACTTATGCACCTCCTCTGGGGCCTAACTAGATGACCAAGGAGTCCTTCCCTGTCCTGCTGGCTCACTGCCTGATCTGTCCAACCTACACACGATATGCCTTGCGCCCATTCTCCTCTTCTCCCCTCTCCCACTTTCATTCTCCTTTTTATGTATATTGTCTTTCCCCATTAGAATGTAAGTTCCTCTAAAGAAGCAACCTTGTTTTCTCACTTTTATATCCCCAGAGCTCAGCAAACCTCCTGGAACATAGTCGGTCTTAATAAATGCTTTATTTGTTGATCTAATTATCTGTCCCAAATTGAGAGCTCCCTAAATGGAAGGTCTATACCTTCTCTGCCTCCCCAGATGGAGATTCCTGAGTACAGCATCCTAAGCCTCCCCTTTCCATTGTCTCCTTGACAATATCATCTGTGAGCTGACAAAGGGCTGGACATACCAGACAGATTGTGTGAAGAGTTATTTATTGATTAACTCTGAGACATCCCAGGGGTAAACGGTCAGTCACAGATTCTCAGAATTGGAGGGTACCTCAGAGATCAGAGTCTAGTGACTCAGGGGTGGGGAACCTGCAGCCTCGAGACCACATGTGGCCCTCTAGGTCCTCAAGTGTCTCCCTTTGGCTGAATCCAAACTATATTGTTCTGTGAAGTTTGGATTTAGTCAAAGGGCCGCACTTGAGGACCTAGAGGGCCATATGTGACCTCAAGGCCACAGGTTCCCCACCCCTAGTTCCAGTCCAATGGAATCCTTTCTGCAACAAGGGATCATCTGACTTCTGCTTAAACAGTTTCAGTGACAGGGAGCTCACTACCTCCTGGGGCTGCCCATTCTAATTTAGGGCAAATATAATGATGAGAAAGTTTGTCTTTTTTTTTTTTTTTAAAGACCCAATCTGTGATTCCATCTACGTAGGGAGTTTCTGGTGAAGAACTTCTACTGGCCTGCAGATCTGTACCTTCTTGGCAATTTACTGTCCTAAAGACTTGCCCGGGGGCACTAAGTTAAGTGACTTGCCCAGAGTCACACAGCCAACATGTGTCAGATGTGGGATTTGAACTGAGGTCCTCCTGATTCCAAGGCAATTCTTCGTGTACTGAACCACACTGCCTCTAAGTTTTTTTTTATTTTAAGTCAAATTTTGCTTTCTTCGACTTTCATTGTAGCTCTACCTTCTAGCACTGAGCAAGATGAGTTTCCTGTGTCAGCCCTTCAAATACTTTATGACAGTTATACACTTCCTCGCTCTCCCAGTTCTTCTCACCTCTAGGCTAAACATGCCCAGGTCTTTCACACGATCTCCCCTTATGACATGATTTGTGTCCCTTTACCTTTCCGTCCACCCTCTTCTGGATGCTCTTCCAGCTGTCAATGTCTTTCCTAACCCGTGGCCTCTAGACCTGAATTTCAGATACAGTCTGACCAGGACAATGGGATGCTCTTCTTTCTCGTTCTAGACACTCACCCTTCAACATAGTCCAAAACATAGGCCATCTTTTTGGCTGCCTTTTTATGCTATTGACTCATATTAAGCTTGTAATCCACTAAAACTTTCAGGTCTTTTCTTCATGCTCTAGCCAGACTACCTCCACTCCATATTTGAGTAACTAAATTTCTGAATGCAATACTTCACAATTACCCTTATGACATTCATTTTATTGGAGTCATTTTGTTCTAGACTGCCAAAAATCTTTCCCAATCCTATTCCACATCCAATGAGTTAGCCATCCCACCTAGCTTTGTGTTATATGCAGAGCTGACAACCCTGTTGCCTGTGTTATTATTAAGATGTGGAGCAGAACAGGGCCAAAGCTTCAGGGAATAGAATCCATTTTTATTTCCACATAAAATTTCTCACTTAGTCTCTTTATATGTATGAGCAGATAGGGCTTCTCTTAGGAAGTCTTCAACGAAGTTCTCGGTTATTCCATCCTGGAGAAGAAGGTATTCCCCGCAATTTAGCTGGTACTTCTCATCAATGAGTGAGATTTTAGTTACTTAAAGGCACAAGGAATCAACCTTAACAATAGATATACCTACAATGCTGGAACTTGCTAATGTGGTTCCTTGCTATAGCCAATAGTCAGGGTATCTCTAGCCTATATCATAATAGGAAATGCTTCTGTCTTCAGGGCTCTGCCTGCATGTATGTCTTACCTCCCTGTTTTTTTCCTATGCAGAGCTCTACTCTTCATTACCAATTCCCTCTTGTTCAAATCTTAGTTTTTCATGCCTAGGTAATTAAGCTGGCAAATCTCAATGCATTTGTAAAGGTAATGCCAATGACTATCTTCTCTTTCTCCTTTGAAATAAAAGGACTTTGATCCTAGTGATTTCTCCCTACCTTCTGGAGAAGGTGCTAATAAATTAATAGGAGGAAGTGAGAGGAGAACGAAAAGAAGAAAGAAGATCACAGGGCTAGAAGAGACCTTAGAGATCATCTATTCCAAGTCCCTTATTTTATAGAGGAGTAAATTGGGTCCAGGGAACTAGAGTGATTTGCCTAATGTCACAGGGAGGAAGGAGCAGGGCAGGATTCCAACCTAGGTTCTCGATTTTCAATCAAGTTCTTTCCCCAGTCTGTCACACTGAAGCAGGAGAAAGGAAGTAGAAAGAAGGGGATGATGACAACAAGGAGAAAAAGAAACAAGGGGAGAAAGAAGAAAAAAAAAGAAGAGAAGGAGGAAGGAGAGGAAGAAGAGGAGAGAAATAGAAAGGAGTATAGGAGGAAATAGGATCCTAGGAACAGGAAGAGGTCATCTTTTTCAACCCCCTCATTTTACAGATAAAGAAACTGAGGCCCAGGGAGCTCAAGTGTCTTGCCCAAGGTCATACAAGTAGTGAGGAAGAAGAAGAGAAAGGGAAGAGAAAGATGAGGAAGAGGAGGAAGAATAGTGTTGTTGGAGTAGGAAGAAAAGGAGCAGAGCAGGAAGAATAAAAGGATCAGGGAGAAGAGTAGGAGGAAGAGAAGAATAAGCAAGAAAAGAAAAAGAGAAAGAAGAAAAAAATGACAAGTATGCTTTGTCTGAGGGGACTTGAAACTGCTTTCTGTGAGAATCACTTGAAGAAACTGAGGATGTTTACCACAGAGAAGAGAAGATGGAGAAAGTCTACGATCACTTTCTTTGGATGGGTAAAGGGTCTCAGAAGGCAGAACTAGTAGTAATGGGTGGAAGTTATAGGGAAGCAAATTCTGGCTCAACATAATGAATATAATAACTAGGACTATTCCTGCAGTGGGATGATCTCACTTGTTGGATAGGGAGGTCCCTGACACTAGAAGGAATTCAAGCAGAGGGCGGGTTACTGGGTCAGAGAGGATGGAGAGAGGATTCTGACACTGGGTGGTGGGTTTGACTAGCTGACTTCTGAGGTCTCTTCCAGGCCCAAGATTCTATGATTATTTATGTGAAGTCTATCAAGGACTCCTATTCCTCAGGAATAGGAACTCCTCCATCCAATCCTCTCTTCTTGACCCCACCACCGTCCAGGGCACTATGGGTCAGAGGACCATTATCTCTTCTAGTGGCTATTCTGTAGACAGCCATATCTTGAAATGTACCCCTTTCCCAACCCAAGGTACAAGGGGGCATGCAAGGTCATGCATCGACACTCAGAACCTGAAACACATCGCAACTGGTTGGGAGAAGGAAGAAGGCAAACAGGACCAAACCGGAAACGAGAGAGAAAACGCAGGCCACTCTAAGTCCCAGGGCACAGAGGTCCCCCTGGTTATCCTCCAGGGAGGGAGGGAATCCTGATGCCTTCTGAGGCAGACCTGGTCCCATCTAAGGCTTTGAGGGTCAAATACCATATGTATTTGCTAGCATACAAGACACCCCTTTCCAGGGCCACAAGCTGACTCAGAGAGCACCTTACGTGCGGGACTCCCATCAGTTTCGATGAGGGTAGGGTAGGCTTGGAGAAAAAAAAAATCCAGGCTTTCCAACTGGGGGCGTGGTAGGTACGCCAAAAACAGGGCTTGTGGGAGGGGGGATCATTTCATAGGTTGTCCTACAGGCCACACGTGGACATGGCTGGAGTCTCAGCAACGCTCGTCCAGGGAATGATCCAGTGGCCTGTGACTTAGAGCCCTACCTCCCCCAAGTCCACAAACCAAGACAAGGTTTTTTTTTTTTTTTTTTTTCTCAACAGGCAGGGCTCAGAATGAGTCTACTTGGTAACACAATCTACCGACCGGACACGTATATCGCCTTACTCCTACGCTTCTTCTCCAGCCTGCGAAGCCTCTTCTCCTCCCTCCGCCGCGCCTCCTCCGCCTCCTGGTGCTGCCGGCACTTATGGAAGTTCTCCACCACCACGCCCACAAACATGTTCAGGACAAAGAAGCTGACGATGAGCAGGAAGGAGATGAAGTACAGCAGCATCCAGGGATTGTGGTTCTGGATGGGCTGATGGCCCGCGGGGTGGGCGGGAGGGGAAGGAAGGGAAAGGCCCGGTGGGTCACGGTCTGAGCCAGGCGCCGAGCAGCGCCTGGTCCCCAGAGTCGTCTACCTGTGTCCCAGCGAAGTCTGCGTTCCTTTCTGCCTCCCTCCCCCACGCCTTCTCTTTCAGGGCTTATTTTTTGATACTGCCTCACCTCCCCCATCCAGCCTATCGTCTGTTTTCTTCCCCAGGGGCCTGACTCTGAGCTTGCTAAGGGGCTGATGGCTTAAAGTGGCCTAGAGAATGACCTTGGCCAAGGGCATCTGAATTTTTATAGTGGACTCAAAGGAAGGAAATTGGAATTTCAGGCACCACGGAGAGATATTTTGGGGCTGGGGGCCTTCCTAAGTGCTGCATGCACTGCATAGGTGTCTGCCTTGGGGAGGTTGGCTCCACTTCCTAGATGGCAGCGGTGAGTACCTGCAGAAGTGTGTGTGTGTGTGTGTGTGTGTGTGTGTGTGTGTGTGTGTGTGT